AAAGTGATCTTCTGTTAGCTTTTGATGATTTTTCACGCTAATGGGCTCCTTCCTAACTGCGTCTCTCACTCGTTTATTTGCCTCATCCCGAAGAAGGATTTTGTCGAAGATGTTAAAGACCTAAGGCCGATTAGCTTGATCGGAAGTGTCAATAAGTTGATCTCTAAGGTTATCACTGACAGATTAAGAGATTTTTTGCCTCGCATTGTGTCGGGTAACCAATTCGCAGGGGTGAGAGGAAGGCAAATTCACGAGGCAACTCTTATTGCCAATGAACTCATCGACAACAGAAAGAAGAGCGGGAAGCCTGGCCTTGTCTTCAAGCTTGACATTGAGAAGGCATTCGATAATGTTAATTGGCATTGTCTTGAGAAAATTCTCCAATGTTGGGACTTTTCGCCTAAATTTCGGAGATGGATAAGTGGGCTGGTCACCTTGCCTCTTCTATCAGTTCTTGTCTTTCATTCTCGAGTCTTTGAAGATCGATGGACGTTTAACTGGCTTCAGAATGGATGAATCTGGGCTCAGAGGCGAAGTTACTCACCTCTTATATGTTGATGATACGATAGTCTTTTGTGATGCGTGTGAAGAGCAGGTGCTGAACCTGCTAAGCTAAGCGCCTTAGTCTGTTTTTCAGGCGGTGATCGGGCTAAGAATTAATGTGGAAAAATGCCAGATGTTTCCCGTCGGCAAGGTTGATTAGCCTTGCCGTTTTGCCAATATTTTCGGATGCTCCTGAAATTTTCTTTCTTCGTTCTTCTTAGGGCTTTCCCTCGGTGCGAGCCCAAATTCTTGTGTGATGTGGGACAAGATAATTGCTAAAATGCAGATGAGGTTGGACGGGTGGCAAGGAAAATTCATCTCCCTGGGAGGACGAATCACCCTTATTAGAAGTATCCTCTCGAGCCAGTCTGTTTATGCTTGCTCTGTCCTAAAAGCTCCAGCCGCTGCTGTTTGAAGATTGGAGAGTTGTATGAGGAACTTCTTGTGGTCTGGGTATAATAACGAAAGAAAGATTCATCTTGTCAACTGGAATAAATGCAAGACCGCTAAGAAATTCGGTGGTCTAGGAATCCTCGACATTAGAAGAATTTGGTGGTCTCAGGAAATGGTTGTGGAAGTATGCTACTGATCCAACAGCGTGGTGGCGATGTCTTATTAATATCAAGTACCCCAACCACTGTTGGAGATCTGGGAAGGGGGACAACATATTGGGGTGTTCTTTGTGGGAAAATATCATGAAAGAAGAATCGGAGTTTTGGAGACATGCTTTTATTAACGCCGGTGGTGGTGCATGGGTTTCGTTCTGGAAGGATTGCTGGATGCCTGGGGTGATTCTTGAAGATGCCTATCCGAAGGTCGCTGCTGCTTCTTCTTCCCCGGAGGACTGGATCTCTGATTTGGTATCCTTTTCTTCTGAGGGTTTCTCTTGGGATATCCCCTTGCGTTTTTCGTTAAGGGGTGGGGCTGAGAGGGATAGAGTGAGATTATTGCAAATTCTTTCTTATGTTTCCCTGCCAAAGCAATTTGGAGGCCGCATGTTCCATCAAAGGTTTCTGGCTTCATGTGGATGGTCACTCATAAAAGGATTCTTACCCACAACAATCTGAAGAAAAGAGGTTGGACCCTTGCTAGCAAATGTGTTCTCTGTGACAGCGAGGAGGAGACCGCAGATCACCTTTTCTGTAGCTGCAAGTGGAGTAAACAAATTTGAAAGATTTTTCAGTATGTTATGGAATTTATGGGACCTTTCCCGTGCACTATTGACTCCCTGATAAGAGGATGGCCGCCGATCAACCTTTCCCCGTGGAATGACTGGTTCAGCAGCAGATTTATTCATGCCTTTTGCTGGGAAATTTGGAAAGAGAGGAACGCTAGAACGTTTAAGGATGAAGCCATGACGTGGAGAACAGTCGTTCGAAAGATCGGGAATAACCTCCTGAAGTGGAGTTCCCCCCATGATGTTGTGAGTTCCCATGATGGTCTCTCTTGGCTTCACTCGATTTACCATGCATGCCATTTGATTCAGCCGACGGAAGAAAGCTGAGATAGTGTGAGCTGTGCTTTTCTGGCTTTCCCAGCTCCTCTGTTTCCGTCTGTTTCGTTCTTTCGCATCCTTCTCTCTTCTCTGTTTTAGTTGGTTTTGCTGGTTTTTTTTTTTTTGCTTCTTCCTGGCCATGTTTGGATCGCTTCTTGCGATCTGAATGGTGCTTCTGTACTCTTGTATTTTAGTTCGATTCTAATATATTCACCCTTATAAAAAAAAAGAATTATTTATTATGTGAAAGCCAGATTATTCGAGTGGCCTATATGACTGTTGACAAGAGATTTATCGGTTTACTCACTTAAATCGTTCACCTACAAGAATTCAAATTATTTGTGGATGAATCGATATCCAATCACGATTCAACCACCTACTTACTTATACCAAATTCAAATTATTTATGGATGAATCGATATCCAACCAGGATTCAACTACCTACTTACTCATCCCTACCCGTCTTGAAAGAATTCGCGCATGCGCCATGCTACTCTCACACCCATCTCGTCATTGGCTTGCGTCATGCGTGCAGCTAGCTAATCTCGACATATTTTGCAGGTTAATTTCTTATGACTGAGACCAGCTGGCGATCGAGATGGATTTGCTTTCCCTGTTTCCCACCATTATCTTCTTCGTCAATTTAATTAATCTAAACGGAAAATTAACGGTTACTTACTCCAGAAAGGACTCAAACGATTAAAATGCCTAGTAAAAGGGCTTACTCGCGCTAGCTGAGTCAACCCTTAATGGTTGCTTACAGTTACATGAAGCACCCGAATGATTAGAATAATAGAATGCCTAGTAGTTGGGATTAATATAATTGAGCAATCGAGAAAATATACACCACATGAAAACTTGCATCTTAACTTCCCACAGTAGAGGCACTTGTTAACTAATAGCAATCGAACCTTTTTAATGGTAAAGTGCATAATTCTTGGTTATTCACTTACGCATAATTATATGACACTTGACTTTGAATAAGATTAGATCTAAAAGGCTAAATTAAATGCATTTTTTTAATTGGCTTGTATCTTTTTTTTAATATAAATTTCAAACTTTTTGTATAAATGGAACATGTTCATTTTGATCTACAACATCAAATTCATTTACAATATATTTGAAGAAGATTTTTTGACGTACCACTTGTTATCACCTGATAGTTGTACAAGTACAACCTTGATTTTTTAATTCGAATTTTCAAAAGATTTGCACATGAGTGACATGAGAAACTGGTTCATCATGATGTATCATGATCTACAAATATATAAGAGAAAAATATCAGGACAAAATATGTCACTTTTTACCACCATGATTTGAGGTGGTAAATGGTGATAGACGGTACTTAAAAGTAGTAATTAATGAGAATATTCATACTATCATGTACAGGGGCGGACTCAAGTGCCCTAAATTGGGGGGGATTAATCAACGTCCGGTAGTACTATTGAGTATAGAAAAAAGAGGAAAAATTGTTAGTGTAAGTGATTCGAATTTATAACACAATAATTATTAGGGAACATCTTTTTATTTGACTATATTTCATTTGTTGTTGTGTTTTTTTTATATATCCTCAAATTATCTAAAACCCAAACCCACAAACTATCCCTTATCCCCACCTTATTTTAAAACACGATTTTATTGATTTCGGATACAAAATTGAATCTATCATATCCATTGACCTATTTGCTCATCAGATTTGTATTGACTTTATCGGTTGCAACTCGAAGTGTTGATAGAGCTTGGGTTACATCAAGAACAAATTTCAAAATCTCATAGACGATTAGTTGGTGAATGATTGTCTAGTAAGATATAATGAAAGAGTTTTTTGCGCACTGTAGGCAGTTGTAACAGTGTAACACGTCATTGACTTTTGTTGTAATTTGTATTAGTTAGATAGTTTCTTATTTAATAATCTTTTTAATTTTAAATTTGATTTAATTTTTAAAAGGGACACCCCTATATAAAATTTCTAGGTCCGCCACTGATCATATATACGCCCATTGTTCTAATATATATTTATGCCTGCATGGTACGTATAGTCGTATACTTCCATACCACCACCATATAATCTTATATATTATCAAACATTACGACGGATACCACCATGCTATATAACTATATACTAATAATATATATCACAATTATTCTGGGGAAAAATAATTCAAAGCGTGTATAATTTTAAGGAAGACAACTAATATGATTTAATGTTTAGGGAGCTCGGGCGATGCCGATTCGGAGGGGAGGGAAGCTATCGGCTGACGGCTGCGCTGCTGTGTGCTGTCCGTTTCAGTCTTTCAAAAGTTGCAATTTGCAACCCTAGAGACTAGAGTGTACAGTGGGATTCGGCTGGGCTGAATGGGAGGAGGAGTGGGCCGAGTGGTTGGGCTTTACATTTGGGTCAGTTTATTATTTATCCGGTCTTCCGATTTTGACACGGAATGGATTGGTCTGGGTTTTTTTACTAATTATGAGACCAAAGACGGGATTGAATTGTTTTAAATCCGGTCCCGGTCTTAAACGGTCCGGGTTATACGGTCCGATTTTCGGTTTTTAATCCGGTCCCGGTTCAAATAGGCAGCCTTAGATACCACCATGCTATATAACTATATACTAATAATAAATATCTCAATTATTCTGGGAAATAGAAAATCAAAGTGGGTATAATTTTAAGGAAGACAACTAATATGATTTCATTTTTAGTTAATAGTCATTAGATTAACAACCCGTACGTAATTGGTCAACAAGGTATCATGCATCAATGGATCCATCGTCATCAACCAATAATTAATCCACTCACCTCCAAACCCGTTGACTTTTCCATCTCCCACTTCTTCTTCTTCTTCTTCCCCCTTCGCCGGGTCAGCAGTAGTACTATAAGATTTGAATCCATCATCATCATCATCATGAACCAATCAATCACGAGAGAGATCGAAACCACCACCAAATAACAACAACAACAACAATGGCAACCATCAGCATCCGCGCTTCTCCTTCTCCCTCCCAACCACCACCGCCACCTCCTCCGCCGTCAACTCCCTCCGTCATCACCCCAACCTTCACGGAGCAAAAATGGCGCAACCACACAAGAGAAAACGTGAAGCTCGACCTCGACAGCATCATCCAAACTTTGCTCTGCGCCGTCCAGGTCCCCGACCACCTCCGACAGACAAAGCCCGAAGCCTACACCCCGCAGCTCATCGCTCTGGGCCCGTTCCACCACTTCCGGCCCGAGCTCTACCAGATCGAGCCCCTCAAGCTCGCCACCGCCAAGCGGGCCCTCCAGAGGTTCAACCTCAGCGGAGTCAACGGGCTCGAAGGCTTCGTCTCCGAGGTGGGCCGCGGCTCCGGCCTCCTCCCTCGCATCCAGGCCTACTACGGCCGCCACCTCGACGTGGAGGACGAGACCCTGGCCTGGATCGTCGCCATCGACGTCCTCTTCCTCGTCGAGGTGCTCCACAACGAGGAGATCCTCATCTCGTCGTTCGCGCCCTGCTTCTTCGATTCCTTGAAGAGGAAGCTCTCTCCCCACGCGATCTTCGGGGACCTGATCCTGCTCGAGAATCAGGTCCCCTTGTTCTTAATCGCCGACCTGATCCAACAGCTCGCTGCCGCCAAGGATGGCGGTGACGATAACAATAGTATTGATGTTGGGGATGAGCTGTCGAGGAGGTTGGACGTGATCTGTCACCTGCTGTCGCCTCTCCAGCTGCCGGAGGGGAGGTTCCCGACTTACTTCCGGCGGAGGCATCTGTTGGATCGGCTCTACCTCCTCATCACCCGAGGGGAGCACGAGGCTGCGGCGGGGGCGGGTGGCGGCGGCGGTGGAAATAGTAGTAGTAGTAATAGTAATGTTCGAGCTCCGACCTCCGTGGGGATTCTACAGCGGATTGCGTCCGGTCTTCTGAAAAAGGTAATTTTTTTTTTGTTTTGTTTTGGTTAGGTTAACCAAATCATTAAATAAATAAAAATCTGATCAGACAAAAATTAATTTCCCTATGATGAAATCAAAACTGCTGGTAAAGCCTAATGATGATTGGTTTTTCGACAACAAATCAGTCGCTTCCACGACTTTGGTTTGGTTTGAAATTAGCCACAAAGCAAATTAATAATTTGGAAAGTCCAAAATAGGGTTCAAAAAGAAACAAAGAAGTATGAAAATATAAAATAAGTCTACTACACTTAAGTTGACGATAACGCGTGTTGTTGACATGTATTGATTAAATTAGGGTGTTATCAACAAGGATTGTGAAACCAATGTTAGTGTTAGGGTTAAAATGTGCCTACGGATTTAGAAATCGTGCAGTTCCATTAGTATGATATTATTCGCTTTGTGTTAAGCCCGCACGAATTTATTTTTGAATTCCTTACCAAAAGGCCACATACTATATATTGGACTAGGTTGACATTAATAAAAAAAAGTCTATTCCATTGAATTTTCGATGTGTTACTTGAATTGTCTCATAACGATTTCATGAACTCTGGTTATCGGTTTCTTATGATTTTTCAGTTTTAAACAAAACCAAAACTATTAAGATTTTAAAAGCTGAGAACTAAAACCAAAACCAAACCGACAGCTATACTAAAATGTATATCATTGTTTCATTGTCTGTCGTTAATGATGACAGGTCGAAGATGCTCGGAACAGTTATTACGGCGGGGCCGTCGTGACCGACGGCGAGAAGGACGCGGTTGCGGGGAGCATATTGGCCCGGGTGCTGAAAAAGGAAGGAGGAGGGGATCAGGACGACGACGACGACGGAAGTAGTTTGGTTTTTGCCAAGGCCGCCAGAGCGAGGATGGAGCGTGGCAATCAACGGAGTTTTATTGGGGTGGATGAAGAACGTGAGAACTTTCTGGTGAGGGTGTTGCAGAATGTGACGTCGCTTGAAATTGGGCCGGATGAGAACGTTGCTAATGATTTCCAGACTTTTGCCCAAGAGCAAGGTAATTAAATTAAAGTCGTCGTCTTAGATTTAATTTAAGCAATTATTAATTACCCCCATCAGATTATTAATTACTATTAATCACGTCCTTGGATTCTTTTCTTTTTTTGACGCCATCCTTGGATTCTTTTCCGGGAATGTATATAAATATAAAAATAGCACTAGTTCTAGCTCATTAGATTTAATCATTTACGACAGGTTGTTTTTGTCTTAGGGAATCTCTTACCTGTCATTAATTAGTATTCGCAATAATGATACTTATTATACGACTGGAAAAAATTTTGTACTCTCAAATAACTTACGCGTTCATTTGGTGATTCACGTAATTCATGTTTATTTATGTACGAGTTGGGGTACTCGTACAAATGGAACCCCAAAAATTTCCCTTTACCCCATAATATATAATATAATTTGAATACAAAATCTCCATATTATTGTAGATAATTTTATGAAAAGGTCATGTTTTGCGATATATATTTATTTTGAATTCATATATTTTGTAAGCGAGCTTAATATAAAGATAGTAACTTGGCTAGAGCTGTCAATGCAAGTGTTGCAGAGCAGTTACTTCAATGAACAAAGTGAAGGAAACACTTCAAAATAAAATGAGTTGTGGAATCATGAACGATTTCGCTGCGATATCTTAACATCCCTCATAATTTGCATGATGAATGTAATTTTAAAAAATTTAATACATTTTTTTTTATTTTTTATGTTTAACCTACTTTAAATGAATTTCTGGCTACGCCACTGAACACCAAGTTGCATGAATAATCATTACTGTTTGCATGTTATCTGAATAAACAATAAACACAACATTGCATGAATTAGGTGTTGGTGACACCATGTTCTATACAGCCTATACTGATGAATCATATATAATATGTGTTACACATTTATGAACAGGGAAAATGCCAATGACGGGAATCTTCCAAGTGTTCACAATGATCAACAAAGCCCTGGAAGACGACAGGTGCATTATCCCTTCCGCCTGCCAGCTTAAGAAGGTCAACATCAAGGTCACCCAGCTCACCAGCCCGACCACCGCCGGCCGAACCGCCGGGAGCCTCTGCTCCACCCGGTTCGACCCAAAATCCAAAACCCTCCACCTCCCGACCTTCACGTGGAACCCAAACTCTGAGGTGGTGATGCGCAACCTCGTCGCCTACGAGGCCACCGCGAAATCCAGCTCCTTAGTCCTCACCCGCTACACCGAGCTCATGCACGGCCTCGTCCGCACCGCCGAGGACGTGCAGGAGCTCAGGAAGGAAGGCGTCGTCATCGCGGCCGCCGTCGACGACGCCACGCTGGTGGAGATGTTCGGTGGGATGGGGCTGTCGAGCAGCTACCCGAAGGGGAGCACGATTCTGGACGGAAGCGTGGCGGCCATCAATCAGTATTATAACAAGCAGCTGAAGATTCTGCTGATGAGGCTGTTCAAGAAGTATGCCAAGGTCACGGTTAAGTATTTGGTGGTGGTGGCGGGTTTGTTGTTGGTGATGGTGTTGTTCATCCAGGCATGGTGCAGTGTTTACAGGTGTCCTGGTGCAGTTCATTCGAGGGTTGTGCATAATGTCGTTGGTGGTTTGCAGTCTGTGGCGCTGCAGCTTCTTGGCGCCGGCGCCGGGGAATCGTCGTGATCTTACTGCTTTTTTTATTTTCTCAAACGAAAAATATAAATTTTCGCCCCAAACTGTAATGGCTAGTAAGCCCATCCGGTGGAGCGACGTCGTCTCAGGCAAAGTTTTAGATTCCACAAGTGCAACGGCACCGTCTTGTGCAGTGCAGACCTTCATTGACGATACGTCGACGTTGTGAGCCAACGTCTCTTTCATTTCCAAGTTGTTGTTCCCTCCAAACTCTGCATTCTCTGTTTTCTGTTTGTAAACAACAGCTAAGAGCTGTTTGTCCTCTACTGATCCAATCTTGTGTATAAAGAACAATAGTCATCAATGAGAAAGTAAGTTAGCGTTTCAATTTCATACCTAGTTTTATGGTATCAGAGCAATCCTAGCCACCGCCTCCCTAAGAGGTTCAAATGTGACACCCAATCCCTCTGCCAAACCTCCAGAATGCACTTTCTGCAGAAGGGTTTGACACACTGAAGAAAAATGCTTTAAGAAGCATGGTTATCCTCCCAGTTCTCAATCCAGAACCACACCTCCTACTCATGCAGATCCTCCATCAATGCAACTGACAGTGGCTCTTCTTCAGACACTCAGCAAGAGTTCAAACTCACAAAGTCCGAGTATGACAAACTTATTTCTCTGATACATGATAACTCCAACGGCAAGTCTCCCACCAATGCTCATTCAGCAATACTCACTATTCATCATGCATCTGCCTCTTCCGATACTTTTCTTCATGATCCTCACAGTCACATATTCATTAATCTTCCAACTGGTGATCGAGTTCAAACTACATACAAAGGCACAGTTCTTTACCTTAATGGCATCACTCTTGAGGATGTCCTGTTTGTCCCTAAGTTCACATTCAACCTTCTCTCAGTGAGTAAACTCACCACCACCAGCCCTCTTTGCTTAACCTTCTCTTCTGGTTCTTGCATCATACAGGACATGAAGCTGATGAGAGTGACAGGTTCTGCTGAACTCCTCCATGGCCTTTACCCCATCAACCTACCCTTAGCTAGTAAACCTAACCACATCACAGCAGTTGTTAGTTCACCACATTTTGACATTTGGCATTTTAGAATTGACCATGTTTCCCACAGTAGAATTCCTCAACTAAAACAACTCTGTAAATACATTGAAACCAACAGCAGGCAGCTTACCCTGTGATGTTTGCCATTTTGCCAAACAAAAACGACTTAATTCCTTTCGCTTCCAGCACAACTGTAACAACACTATTTTTGTAGTTAATTCATGTTGATATTTGGGGACCCAATTCCTCCCCCACTTATGATGGTTTTAAGTATTTCCTTACCATTGTTGATGACTATTCCAGGATGACTTGGATCATCCTCCTTTCTTCCAAAGCTGATGCTCATCCCAAACTCATTCAATTCTACAACATGATAACCAAACAATTCAACACAAATGTCAAAACAATTAGGAGTGATCAAAGTAGAGAATTCCAAATGAGTGATTACTTAGCTGAACATGGAATTCTCCATGAAATGTCCTGTATTGAGACACCTCAACAAAACAGGAAGGTTGAGCGTAAGCATCAACACATCTTAGCCATTGCCAGAGCCTTAAAATTCCAAGCCAATCTCCCAATTGGTTTCTGGTGAGCTTGTGTCAAACATGTTGTATATCTCATTAACCGAGTTCCCATCCCTGTCTTAAACAACCTCACACCATATAAAAAACTTCATGATAAACCTCCTGACTTACAAAACTTAAAGGTTTTCATTTGTCTGTGCTATGCATCCACCATCACTAGTCACATAACCAAATTCTAGGAGAGAGCCCGAAAAGGAGTTTTCCTGGGATATACTGCAGGAGTAAAGGGGTATAGAATCTATAACTTGCATTCTCATGACATCTTCCTTTTCTGAGATATCCACTTTCATGAACATGAATTACCTTTCCACCACTCCTCTCCTGACTCACCCCATACAGATCCTCTTCCCTCTACTCACACCTATCCAATCCCAGATGATCTCCCATCTCCACCTACCTTGCCTAGTTCAGAACCACCATCTGATTCCCCACCACCTACCCCTCCCAATCCTTCCTCCATTGATCTGCCCATCGCCATTAGGAAACCATCCAGAACCATAAAACCACCCATCATCCAGAACCATAAAACCACCCACCAAACTCCAAACTTACCATTGAACCTACTTTAGCAGGCTTCTTCCTCCAGTCATTCTCTCCAGCAACATGTTCCAGGGCAGGTATCACCTATCCCTTATCTGATGTACTTGATTACACTGGTTTATCTTCTTCACATCTCAAGTTCATCTTGAAAATATCTTGCCATAAAGAACCTGAATCATATGAAGAAGATGCTCTCAGACCAGAGTGGAATCAGGCCATCAACCATGAAATTGATGCCCTTGAGAGGAATCGGACCTAGGATGTTGTTTTTTTGCCTCCAGAAAGAAAACCCCTTGGCAACAAGTGCATCTTCAAATATAAGTTCCTCTTTGATGGAAGCCTGAAAAGAGAGAAGGCAAGATTAGTTGCAAAAGGTTATAATCAACAAGAAGACATAGACTATCAGGACACATTTGCACCTGTGGTCAAAATGACGACAGTCAGATTATTCCTTGCTATAGCTGCCTCGAGATCCTGCCATGTCCATCAATTAGATGTAAACAATGTTTTTTTTACATGGGATATCACAGAAGAATTCTATATGAAGCTACCAAAAGGATATAAACCACCTCCACACATCAAGAACCCTGTTTGCAGACTAAAGAAGTCCCTCTATGGCCTGGAGCAGGCCTCTAGGAGTGTATCTCCAAGTTAGCAGACTGCCTTATCAATCAGGGATACACTTCCAGCCAAGTTGATCATTCCTTATTCTACAAATCTTAAGACTCTCATTATACCTGTGTTATTGTCTATGTGGATGACCTGGTTCTGGGAGGAAATGATTTAGTAGAAATCACACAACTGAAACAATACCTTCATCAGACATTCAACATCAAAGATATGGGTCCTCTAAAGTTTTCCTTGACATTGAAGTTGCCAGAAACTCATCTGGTATTCATCTCTCCCAAAGAAAATACACTCTGGAGATACTTGAAGAATGGGAGGTGCTTCTATCCAGGCATGTCTCTACCCCTATGGACCACAAGATTCATCTAACAGCACACCATTCTTATGCTTATCCTGATCCTTCTTTCTACATAAGACTAGTGGGCAAGCTCATCTAATTAACCACAACCATACCAGATATAAGTTTTGCCACTCAGCAGCTCAGCCAATATATGTCTAATCCTAGCAATCAACACTACCAGGCTGTCACAAGGGTTCTTCGATACCTCAAATCAGTTCACTCTACTAGTTTGTTCTTTCCTACTTCATCTTCACTACATCTTAAATCCTTCAGTGATTAAGATTGGGCATCTTGCATGGACACTATAAGGACAGTGACTGGTTACTGTGTTTACCTCGACAATGCTTTGGTCTCGTGGAAGAGCAAGAAACAGCAGACCATCTCCAAATCATCTTGTGAGGCAGAATATAGGGCAATGGCGGATACAACCTGTGAACTCCAATAGCTCCTATTTCTCCTTCAAGAATTCCAGATCCCTCATCCACTTCCTGCCATCATCTATTGCGACAACCAATCAGCAATTCACATCGCAGAAAATCCAACATTCCACGAGCGAACCAAGCATATCGAATTATAGATTGTCACCTGGTGAGAGAAATATTGCAGAATGACATTGTCAAAATTCTCCATGCCTCGACTCTTCACCAATTGGCTGACCTATTCACGAAAGCACTCCCTCCAGCAACCTTTTCCATTCTCCTCTCCAAACTTGGTGTGCATAATCTGTGCCCACCAGCTTGCGCGAGGAAGGGGGGGTGTCATACGAAAATACAAAATTTTCGAGCGACGTCGTCTCAAGCAAAGCTTCAGATTCCACAAATGCAACGGCACCGTCTTGTGGAGTGGAGACCTTCATTGACGATACGTCGACGTTGTGATCCAACGTCTCTTTCATTTCCCAGTTGTTGTTCCCTCCAAACTCTGCATTCTCTGTTTTCTGTCTGTAAACAACAACTAAGAGTTGTTTCCTCTACTGATCCAATCTTGTGTATAAATAACAATAGTCATCAATGAGAAAGTAAGTTAGGATTTCAATTTCATACCTGGTGTCAAAATCTGTTATATATATGTTTGTATTCTAGTTATGGTTTTTCTCTTGTAATGTGTTCTGATCATATCCCAACCATGATGAGGGGACCCAGAAAAATTATGCTCTAGGAATATAAATTGTGGTAGTTGGGGGAGGAGAGACCACACTCGTATCACAATTTTTGTATCCAATCCATCTCAAGTTCCCAAATGATATAATTATAAAATTAGATTGGCGTGGATTCATGTATCGTTGGCAAATTACAATTAACTATCTAAATTTTTTATATTTTACAATTCGATATCTAATATTTATTTTTTACCGAAGTTTTGCATTTGAAAATTACTTTTTGGTGCCTGATTTTTTTATAATGATGTTGTAGTACCTAAAATTTTCAAAATTTACGTGTTGGTCCAATATTTAGATGCCATTTGAAACCATAATCCAATGATTCCAATCCACCAATCCATTTGATTCAATCCATTAATCAACCAATATATTTGATTCAAGGATACACCAATCCATGAATTCAATCTTGCCATAGAGATGAGATTCAGTATTTGATCACATGCATCCTCATGATTAATTAAAAACCATGACTAATAGTCGTCACTACTACAACAACCATAAGATTTCATCAACAAAAAGAGTTTAGCTAGGGGAGAGAGGTGATAGATTTAAGGTCGAGATATGGTTTCATTAACCATGCCCTTGCCTAATTTGTTGTTAGGGCAAGCTTTCTTGCAAGCGGCGATGAGTTGGCGGAGAGTAACTCCAGCATTGCACATGTTGGCTAGGGCTCTGCTGTACTTCTTCCCATACTCCGACGACTTCTCCTCGCATTTTTCTTCGTATGTTTCCACCTAAAAAATAATAATAATAATAATAATAATAATAATAATAATAATAATAATAATAAGATTTGTGTTCTGGTACAATACAAAACCCCAGCTGCAAACTCCAGGTAGAATCATCATATCACAACATTGTAATATGATTATACGACACGATGATATATCATATTATCATATCACGACGTCTTTATACGACTGGATTTTGTAGGGTTTTGTCAGTCCTGGGTTTTGTGCTCCATAATAATAATAATAATAATAATAATAATAATAATAATAATAATAAAAGTATCTTACAAAGGACTTGAAGCAATCCCAATCGTCGACGAGAGGGTGGCCGGAAGGCCTGACCGAATTCATCACATTCACGGCCGTCTCGTGGCCGCCAAGCAGCATGTCTCCGATCCTTGTTATCCTCTCGTCCGCTTGCTTCCTCCTGAAAATCTCCCTCTCCAACTTCATTTCAGCCTCTGCCTTTTCCTGTGACCCTCGTGTAGCCAGGTTGAACTACATCGTAAGTCTATCGTCAGCTCGCGCGAGTTATTGACATACGTAGCTAGTTTAAGACAAGTAATAAACCTGTTGCTGGAGATGGACAAGGACAGCGTCACGTTGGCTGACGGGGGCGGCTCGAGGAATGGCAGCGGTGGCCGCGGCACGGCGGCGATCGTGATAACTAGTAGTAGTGCTAATAATACGGCTGGTGGTTGCGCCGGCGCCGTCGTCGAAACCGATGTAGAAGGAGAGTAGTTGGTGGGCGATGGTCTTGTCCCCGTACTGCATCACGTGGGAGCTTGAGTTTTCTGAATCCATCGCCGTTCTCCTTCTCACCTGCAAAACACATTAACACTTTAATTAAATTACCTTGATTAACTTTTTAATTTCCCAACACCCAATCTAAGTACACACAAACCGCATGGTATTGTTGTTCAAGGGTTTCCTTGCGCGGATCGTGCAAATCGCTGCATCACCAAAGGATTATTAGTTACATAAACATATATAATACTGATCGACAATTTAATTCTTATAAACTTGGAGGGAAAGACCTGTCCTCGAGCCAGGAAATGCTGAATAAGTCGCCCAAGCAGGTCTGGAAATCAGGGGGAGCGCCGGCGGGGTAGTCTCCGGGGCAATAGAACGCGTAACTGCTCTCCGATGTGTTCGACGCCGTGACGGCGTAGATGTTCATGTCGCCGGGCAACACCCCATCGAACATGCTTCCCGCCTCGCACGCCTCCATATATATCACCTGCGCGTATATTATCGGACAATCCAATTCAAATACCACATCGATTATTATCGGACAATCCAAATACCACATCGATTATTAGTAATATAAGGGGAAAATATCCTTGTATATAATTGTCCACCAAACTCATTATAACGATGCATTTTGAAGCTATATATAGGAAAAATTTGCTTACCATGCTCTTATAAGCATTAGCAGTGTGCTTTTTCTTGAGAACTTCCATCAGGTCGTGGGCGTACACGCTTTTCCCCACAGGCATTCCTGCGCGAGCAATTAAGCATTAATTAAATTCAATGTATACATATTTCAAGCTCCATGAAACCATACCGCACCAGTGGTTGAACCAGCAAAACTTGTCATTATACGGTATTAACGGTTGAACTACGGTTAAACCATGATTTTGTCATAAAATATCCTACCGCTGAATTTTTTTTATACGGTTTCATGGACCATGACGTATTTACCGTCGAGATACCACATTAATCAAAGACATGATGATCAGCAGACATCCACTAGACCGACGGATTTCGAATTAATTACTAGAAGAAACGACTACGGGCAAGTAGCTGAAATTGATTACCAACGGAGCCATGGTTAACGTGTATAGTAGATGAAAACGGTGTCGTCGGGCCCACTATCGAAGTTATATTCCTTATTACAGTTGTATAAGTTAGGTAATTTTCGTATTAGTGTTAAGATTATTAATTTTCGTATTAGTGTTAAGATTATTATAGAAGTCAGTCTCTGTATTCTATACAAATCCTATGTAATTTCAGTAATAATACACAACAGTTTCCACCGTATTCTGATTTATTTCGAATTTAATTACTAAGAACAACGGCAGCGGGGTAAGTAACTGAAATTTGATTACCAACGAGCCCAGCGGAACCATGGTCGGCGTAGTAGATGAAAACGGTGTCGTCGGGGCCACTGTCGACGACTTTCCCGCTTCCCCCAGTCAAAGCGGACCGGTTCCCAAGAATCACCGCGTAAAAGTTGTCGGCGGTGCAATTGCTGCCGGTGTAGTCCTTGGGGACGCCGGAGTAGACGTCGCTTCCCGTGGGCTTGTTGATAAGGATGCCCGGGCGGGGGTTGCCGACGCTGAAAGCGACGTCGTCGGACATGAAAACGACGATGTTGTCGTCCCTGAGGCCTCCCTTCTTGAGAATGTGGTAGGCGTGGCAGACGTCGGCTTGGTGCCTGTAGTTGTAGTAGTAGCCGGAGCCGGCCACTAGGATGGCCCACCTCGTCCCCTCCGGCGCCGTCTTCTGCGCAGGGAGAGGAGGAGGAGAAGAAGCGGCCGTAGAGCTCAGGAGGAGGAGGAGGAAGAAGGTGGTGAGTTGAAGCTTGTTCATGGCGGCTGATGGATTGGGATTGGGATTTGGGAGGGAGAAAGAGACGTGTTCTTTTGACCGTTTTTATAGATAGAGGCATAGAGATATGATATTGGACGGTTATATTTTGTTATGCTGCGAGTCATGCAAATGGTGTTTAGTCCTCGTGGCCGGTGACAGTTAAACAATAATGATCAATTTTGAACTCTTTTTGACTTTCCTGTTTCAGGCGAAGTTCTCGTGCAGCATACAAGTTAAAAAGAAAGACTTACAAACTAAACATCCTGGTCAATCTTTTTCAATTTATAACTTTGTTGTCTCAACTATGTATCAAAGATATATGAAATTAACCAAAGCCGAGATTTGACCGTTATATTGGACGGTCAAATGAGTTGACTAACTGTCAACGCATCACATCACTGCCAAATCAGCATAGATCACTTGATAAAAAAAATTGTTTTTCCGATTTGTTTTATGGTATTTTGATGCCTTCATTTTTTTTGCATAATTTTTCAAAATTTACATATTGGTCCAGTGTTTAGATGACACTTGGATCCATAAATCCAATGCACCAATCCATTTGATCCAATTCATGAATACACCAATATTCCATTTGATCCAAATCCATAGATCCGCTAATCCACCAATTCATGAATCCAATCCTTTTGATACTTCTAATAACAACAGTTAAAATCAAGTTTTGTAATTCTACAAATATGGAGGTTTTATATTGGAACCTATGCCATAAAACCACAAAATTTCACTATTAGAAAAAATCCAAGATATTTATATAACTTTTTTTTACTGAAATATATGCACTTTAAAAATTATTGAAAATAATTAATATTAATGATATCTTATTATAAGAAAATGAAGAGAAATTCAATCATAGTCAAAACAAAAACGAAAAATATATGTGTTGTTTTCATTCACTTAAGGACTAGATTAGGGCCCGACCTGTTCGCCGGAGAATTTGTTGCTCATGTATAATTTAGATTTCTTAAAATCGTTTTAGATGCTCGATTTATCGTGCATATATACTTAGCAGTGTGCAAACGTTGTGCCCAAGTCCAAAGTGACGATTTAGGCGGTGTGAAATCGAATGAGAAATAGATAGCTATTTGGTTCCTTTCTTGTTTCTATTTAGTTTTTGCCTTTTGTTTCCTTTATTTGATTATTGTGTCATTTTCATATCCGACTTTACTTTTATATGGGGTATCACTTACCTTTTGTTTCACTCTTTCACCTTTTTTGGTTGAAAAGCGAAGACAAAACAATGAATGTCTTAAATACCTGGCAGCGGAACAACACTTTTTTTTTTTTTTTTTGAAAGGGGGTGTTCATTAAGATATCGAATGGGCCAAGCCCAACCGGAAAAGTACAAGCATTCCAAACAATAGGAAATGAAAAATCTCAAACAACAAGGCCAACAACAAACAGGCCCGGAAACCCAATAGGGCCCAGGCAAGAGGCCACAACAAGTTTGAGCCTCCCAAACCCTAGCTGCTGGTGCCACCCTCTGAATCTCCTCTACCGCTGCAGCCGAGAAACAACGTCGCACTTGACACAGCACCGCCACCGAAAAGCAACCGTCGCCGTGAGACAACGAAGCAGAAGCCTCAACCAAACCCGAAAGGCGAGAAGAGGAAGAAGAAACCTCCACTCATCTCACCCCGAGTCGATTGTCGAAGCTTCCCGCCGACCAAAATCCAAGAGAAGCTCGGAACAACCGACCAGCAGGTAGCGGATCCAGAGGATAGAATACTTTAGTCTTCAAGCTTTCCCAACCAAGTCCACGCCAAGGGCTGCATCTCTGAATCGCCAAGATCTGCAAGGCAAAGCAAGGAGGTAGACGAGGGCAAAGGAAAGGAGAAAACAAGCCGAATCTGTGACAGATCCGGCCTCCTTCGAATCTTGAACCGGACAAACATCTCTAGATATGGAAGCCAGACCAGAGGGCAACAAAATCAACCCACAGGAGGGGGAGCACTGGCATCTCACCAAGGGGAGGAAGAACAGAACACACATGAGGGGAAAAAGTCAATGCATGGCCAGAAAGAGCGAAGATGACAAAGGAAAACGAACAAAATGAAAAAAGAGCTTGAAACACGGAGAAGAAAAGACAGGAAGTCGAGGAGAGGAAGGAGGAAATCAGGGGGGTGGAGGGCCGCAACCGATCGCCGGAGGAGCGCCGGCAGCGGCCCCCATAAGAGCCTGGAGATTCAAACTCAAGAGAGAAGTGAGAGGTTTTTGAGAGAGAGTGGCGGAACAACACTTGATGTTAGCAACCAAGCAATATTATGAGACGATATAATTTTTTGGAATTTAGGCTTTTTCTTCAGTTGGAGTCTTTCTTAATTATTGTCTTAGTTTATATACTTGTCCAATTAAAATTGTCTAATGTATGTTATATAGTCTGCATACTTATAATTAGATATTTTAGCTCATGAATTAATTAATTTGTACCTTTCGTAAAATAAAATAGTATATAAACTTGAGAGCTATAATGTTTGTTGTTAAGTCATTTGAACTGAAGTATGAAAGTGCATCGGAACTTTTATTCCATTCATCATATTAATAAAAATTATTATTTTTTTCTAGCCATCGTTCTCATTCTCTTTCCAACTGCGAATGATGTTCTTCAAGACTTGGAGCTTGCAATTGAGAGAGAGGACATTCATCCTCCTGGAGAAGGTGATCATGAAGTAGTCTGGCTAAGCAGCGGCATTGAGACAAAAGCTTGTGAGCCAGCCTCCCTAGCTGGCAGGAGCGACCGAGATTCATACTTAGGTGAGCTAGCCTCTTCGACAGACAGAAGTGATCTAGATTTTTCACAGTTTAGTGAGCCAGCCTCCCTAACAGACATGAGCGATCCAGACTCACCATAGAATGCACCCTATGACTATGAGGATCACTCCAATTGATGGTCTAATGTTTTAGCGATGAGAGAAAAATATATTTTTCCTCGAAATTCTGCAAGCCTTCTCTTTTAGAAATGTTCAAAATTCTTAGAACCTTTTTTGCTTGCTTTAGAACCGCAGGTTTGAACATTCATGAATTTTTTCGGACTCTCTGCTTACTTTATAATTGTTGAACATGCAAAACTAGTCTTGGCATTACTCTATTTATTTTCACTCATGATTTGCTGTAGTCTTATCACTCTGGATAATGAATATCTTAGAAATCGGCAATCTCCAATCAAGGAAGGCAACAGGTTAAGAGGAAGCCTTGACGCTTCCCGACGATAGCATTAAATTGAAGAAAAGAAAAGCAGGGGGAATTTGTTGGGCAAAGCTTTCCCTTTCCAAAAAGGTAAAACTATATTACTAATTATTATCATATTTGTGAATACAATTGCAGAGAAGAATCTCTCAAATCAATGGAAGATCAAGAGAAGATCGTTGCATCAAAGGAAGTATATTAAGAAGGAAGCAACAAAATAAGCCTCACGAAATGTGATAGAGCAATCCTGCACATAGCAAGATCGAACACTCTATGATTAGCAATATGTGTTAGAAGTTATAAGAGTTAATTGTTTGTGTTTCTCGAGTAATTGTGAGGTTGTGTAGTTTCTCTCTTTAGCGTGAGTGCTTGTAAGGAAGAGAGAAATTAGTATATTGCTCTAATCTTGTTAAGGTTCTAAGTATAACCCAAAGATACTCAACTTGGAGTTAGATTGGAATAACATAAAACCTAGATACTAGGTATCAAAGGGTAAGCCACCTTTGAGTCGAGATGCTAGGTATCAAAGGGTAAACCTATAATAATTCATGTATTGATTTTGAATCGGAATGGAAAAAGAAAGTACTAACTCAAGTGGAGTTTTAGGTACACAGTGCTTCATATTTCTATGCGGACAACTACTTCAGAGAGTTCAAATATTGATTGAGCATGCTGAACTTTACCTAACAAATATATGATAGTAATCAGAAGATATGATGCATGTAAGTTTTGGAGAAATTGGAGAATATGTTTGAGACATCAAACCTAACATGATACCACTGAATTTAAGTGATAAGCAAAGTTTATGGTCAATAGATTAGACATGAAAAAAATTCATCAATGCCTTAAGTTGGTATGAAGTCGGGAATTATCAAATCGAAAACTAGATAACATAAATGATTTAATAGATAACTGCAAAAACATCTTGGAAAAAGAAATCAACCGCTTGCCAAAAACCACCGTAATGAGAAAACTCTTTTAACATAGCATTCACCTTACGTCGATGAAATAAAGAAATAGATCATAGAATTTGTGATCGTTTGGAGCGGAGGCATGAGAATGTATAATAAAATCTCAAAGAGAAAGAAAGTAATTAGCCATTGTTAGCGGCTCATATTGACATAGTTTACTATGATGGATACTGTATCCCGGTGATTAATATTTGGACTTTACGCTTGAACATTGCCTCGTACGGATAAAATTTACTTCATAAATTATATTGTTGAAATAAGGGGTCACTTCAAAGTCTTGATTGTTTTTTACAATACATACATTGATCAGAAAACAATATTTTTTTATTATTTTTGTTCATACACAATCATGAATTATTTGCATATAAACTATCACTCAAATTGAATGATTAAGCTATCTGACGCCAGACTAGCGCCAGAAGATCAAGGAAGTTGGTGATCTCGACTATTACGGTTTGGCAATAAGATGTGCAAATTCGAGAGGGTACAAATTCATGTGCAAATTGTAGGAGGAGCAAATTTAATTAGGTGCAAATTGTTTGAGAGAAAAAGTTGAAGGATGAAAAATGAGATATAAAATATATAATTTGAATATAATAATAATAATAATAATAATAAATTAAAAAACCCCACAAAATTTCCTATACCTTCCTTTCTCTCTTTTCCCTAGTCCCACCATCCTTTTCCCTCCATTTCTAGAGTATCATCCCTTCCCCTCTCTCTCTTCCTTGGTCCCACCACCCACTACCATTTCTTCATCCACAATATTTATGTCTCAATTTGAAGGGTTTACTAGAATAGTAGTTTTGCACCTCTAATGCACCCACT